AGCTTGTTGGGGACTTACAGTGTTCTCCGAGGTAGTAGGCATTCTTTGTGAGTGTAAGATAATGTTTTCCTGGCTGAGCATTGCTGCCATAATGATGCCTAGAGAAAGGGATGATCTGCGCATACTTGGCAAGTCTTAGGAGAGCATGATGTGTAAGTATGCCTCTCTCCTTGGACACACACAGAGCTGACGATCTTTCTTGCAAGGCCTAAGAGAATTCTCTTCCCTCCACTCTGAGGTGCTTGCAAGCCCCAATTTGCTCCCCTTGACTCTAGCAGAGAAGAACACAAGCTCCGTGCCTGTCAGGCTGCTGCCAGAGTGGTTGTTCTCTTCTTCTGTAGGCAAGACTGGGGTAGGAGGTGGGATGTCACAGAGCAATGTATTTGCCACCCAGCCCCTGCAGATGAGTGGAGGTAAGGCAGCAGCCATTCAGGGAGAGGGCAGTCTGATGTCACTAAGACTTGACTGGGTGGCCCAGCTTGTTCAGACAGCTCCCTTGCAAGAGCTTTTTGGTGATCCGGGCGAGCCTGTGGAAAGCCGAGCCCTTACTGAAGAATGCTTAGACCTGTATTGTCTTTACAAAGCGATCTCTTGTTACACAGGTTGCTGGTGGATTTGATGCAGTCTCCAAATGGCGCTTTGGGTAGGAAATGGATTCCGTCCTCATTTACCTTGAGATTAGATGAGGAGGGAGGAGGACTCATTAAGCACATCAACAAGCTCCCCAAATTCTCCCCAAAAGACAGTCTCGTCACTGTATAAAAAGTCAAACATACTTTAACCTCACATTAGACATCAAAGGCACTTGTCAATAGATATTTGTACTCGCAGAAAGTAGGTTTATTTAAATAGGATCTTTCCACGCCACTGTCAGAAGGCAGTGATTTTCAGTACGGTGATTTTAATGTTGCTGACCATGAAAGCTAGCTCATCGCCAGAGGTCACAGACCTTCTTTCCTCAACATGGCTGCGTACACTAGTACCAGACACTAGGTCTCAGGTAAGGTGAGTTTCATTTCTTCTTCTTCCTCTTCCTCTTCCTCTTTTTCTTCTTCTTGTTTTTATTTGTTTCAAGACAAGGTATCGTGTATCCAGGCTGGCCTCTAACTCACTATATAGTCATGGACGATCTTGATTTTCTCATCCTCCTGCCTCCACCTCCCAGGTGCTGGGAAAGGAGGCACGTGCATCCCTGTGGCTGGTTTGAGTGGTGCTGGGGATTAAACCCAGAGCTTTGTATAAGCTAGGCGAGCACTCTGCCAAATGAGTTACATCCTCTGCCTCAGGGTGGCAATCAAAGCGTTCCCCCACCAGGAAGGAAGGGCTCACCAGATAATGCCTGCCTGGCCACCAGCTCACTAGCCTATGAAGTGTGAACAAAATAAAGGCTTGTGGTCCAGCAAAATGGCTCAGCAGGTGAGGATGTCTTTTGCCAAGCCTGGCTACCAAGTTCTGTTCCATAATCCCATGTGGTAGAAGGAGAGAACCAATTGCTGCAAACTCTCCTCTGAACTCTGCTTATAGGCACACAAGCTAAAGCAATTAATTAATTAGTTAATTCGTTAATTTTAAGCCACAACAAAAATAAGGCTTTTTCTTAACACGACATAGCATGAGAGCCCACATAGAAGCAACGTCATTGGTTACCGGTGGGGGAATCCCAAGCAGGCAACGTAAAAGCATTTGATAATAAAACTTGCTTACCTTACGTTCTCTCAACACTCAGTTTTCCAGAAACATCCGTTACTGCAAAATTCTTAACTACCCATTTCTTCCCTTGCCACATACCCTTCAGGCATTTCCATGCCAGATTAGGGCATCCAGTCAAAAGAGACCAGGTTGGAGAAAGGGGCTCAAGCCCCAGGGAAAACTGTTTACCGTATGGCAGTGTGGATGGAGAGCAGGAAGGAACTGGTCTCTCTGCCTCTGCCTTCTGTGTGCCGGGGTTCCACGGCTGCACCACCCTCCTGGGTTTATTAGAATATTCGTTGGCACCACCTGAAGAATTGAATGGCTGAGAAATAAAGCTACATGGTACCTTCAAAGTTTTCCCTCTCACTTCAATTCAAGTCATTAGTTAATGTCACTTTCCAAAGTGGTAAAATAAACCTACCCCAGCAAGTCACTCATTCGTTACTGGTGAATGAAATGTAAACTCACTAATGTGACGGGGGAAAAAACGGAGAGTATGTATTTAAAGCTTCCCCTCTGCAAAACAAATACACGAGCTTCAGATGGCACCCGTCTTCTTGATTCTAAAATGACTGGTCAGTTTGGAAACATATGGGGCTTACTGCCGGCAGGAATGGAGATTGATAGACTCATTTTGGAAACCAGTCTGATGTTATTGTGCAAAAGTGTATATTCATATATTCCCGGGCTGAACCCCAGGAAGTGTGTGCTTATGTGAATTGCCTCTAATAGACACAGCATGTTTCTAGCAAGGGAAAAAAATGGAAGCTGGAAAAACGTGAAAGTCCGTCAATAGAAGGGAAATATATATATATATATATATATATATATATATATATATATGTATATATATATATAACACACATATATTTTCACACTGCAAAACTGTTGAAAGAAAAAACTGACATGAGTTAAATTTAACAAAGTTTACTTAAGCAAGAAAAAAAGGTTCTAGAACTGGGCAGCATTCCAGAACAAAGAGGGTTTGGAACACTCCACCCCACCACACTTACAGGTTATATTTATAGCCTAAGAAAAGGAAGTGACATACAGACAGGACTTGATTGGCCGCAGTTGTCATTGGACTTCAGTAGACATGGTCTGATCAGTTGGCAGCCTATGATTGGCTAAAACCTTGACACTTGTGATTGGCTGAGACTTAGTTGCTTGGTTCTATTCCTATACTCTATGCTGAGATGGTATTATAACTTGTTTATACGCCAAGTTAGGACATAGTTGTACCATGTGCAAAGGCTGTGTTGGGCCAGATTTTAACACCCGGGTACAAAGCCAATTTTAAGCCAAACTGATTCAGTTTAGCAACACAGTGGAATGTCATATCGGGGAAACAACTCAAGTCACCTAAAACAAACTCGGTCAATCTTAGCAAACAACACTGTGGGGCTCTAGTTCCCAGAGACTGTATGCAGCATGGCAGAATCACTTACTGTGTTTTACAACCCGAGAGTGTCCCTTCATTGGTGGAGTTCTTGCCTAGCAGGCATGAGGCCCTGGGTTCGATCCCCAGCCTTAGATAATCCAGATGTTCTGGGGTGCCCCCGTCCTCTCAGCACTCAGGATGCAGAGGCAGGAGCATGACAATGACGAGGATGGGGATGTTCATGTCATAAGCTAGGGGTCAGTCTGGGCTATATGAGAACCTTCTTTAATTTAAAAAAAAAACTTTAAAACCATACATTTTAGGGAACAATGAATAAAAAGCAAAGGGCAACAGTTTACTTTGGGAGAGAGAGAAACAATAGAATACTTCAGGGAAGAAGCAATACGTGGGATATTGCCACCATCAGGGTGGTCAGGGATCTGGTAGTCTTCGGTGCTGGGCTTCAAAAGTGAGACGTGCTTCAAATTTTGTGCAGTGTAAATAGTTTTAAAGCTATAGCATAGGTCAGAGTTCTCCCTTTTTGTTCCCACTTTCTGCCCATTACATGTGATAATACCTTTCCTTTTGCATGTGTGTGTGTGCATACATGTATGTGCATGTGTACACGTTTGGGTACATATGTGTGTGTCTGTCTGTGGAGGACAGAGATTAACCCCCAGTATTGTTCAGAAGTTATCAACCTTGTTTTTTGAGAAAGTCGCCATTAGTGCAGCACTAGCCAAATAGGGCAGGCTGCTTGGCTACCAAGCCCAAGGAGCTGCTGGCCTCGGCCTCTCCAGTACTAGGATTATAATCATGCACCATACATGGCTTCTTTAAAAGTGTGGTTTCTGAGGGTGTAACTTAAGTCCTCCTGCAATTGCGCAGCAGCCGAGCTTGCTCTCATCGTCTCTGTTCAGACTGTCTGGAGCTCACACAGAAGTGGTTGGAGGCTGTGGCTCTTCGGTAATGTCCCCAGGTTCATGGCTGGGAAGAGGTCACCAGGAGAGGCTGACATCAGGAGCTCAGTGGAGTGGATTGCATAGGACAGCAGCGTTGCCTTCATTCCCGCTGAAAAGCTTAGGAAATCTTGCAACGTGGATGAAAGAAAATCCCCCAGAGCAGGTTCCGTGACCTCTCAGAAGATCTGTATTTATTGTCCCAACAGTGACTAAGGCATCTGCGGTGGGTCATTTGCCAAAGACGTGATTATGAAAAGCTTTTTCTTTGGCAGTCCACTGTTCTTTTGTTTTTTGAGCAACTTGTGGCCTTTGGAGCCGGTGAGGCAGAAGTTGGCCCCTGTGCAATGATCACAGGTACAGCGGCAATAGTCACAGCCTCCACACTTCAGTCTTGGAAAGTTCAAGGTGGGTTTGTGAGAACTCAGGGCGTGTAGGAAGGAAAGTTACAATAAACAGGAGATGAGAGCCAGAGTGGGGAATGCTGCCTGCCCGAAAGGTGGACCAGTGTCTGAAGGGAGGGCCAACTTGGATTGGCTTCCCGCACTCACCCTGCATGCCAGCTCAAAGGGTATGCAGTGCCCTCTTCTGGCTTCTGCAGGCACCAGGCACACACACACTGCGCATACATACATGCAGATAAAACACTCAGACATAAAATAAAAAATCAATAAATCTTTAAAGGAAAAGAAAGAATGTTGATCAGAAAGCTTCGATTCAGCCTGGCCCTGACGGCTCCTGAGAAGAGTGTTGGATTTCCCTGAAATATTGGAGTCCAGACCTATTTGTTTATCTAATCCTTTTTTATTAAAAAACCCTTTTTATCTTAAAAACTATAGTCGTGTGTGAATGTGTGTGTGTGTGTGTGTGTGTGTGTGTGTGTGTTATTTGTCTTTCTGGTGACTTCAGATTGTGTTAATTAGGGCCATGAAACTGTATAACCACCAGTCTTGCTTTTCTGTTCGCAGGTTCAGGCCTCTTACACTGAATTTCTCTACTGCCACCCTTTCTACTCAAGCAAACTCTGCAAGGAAAGATCTGCTGGGAAGGGAGTGGCTGCCTGTGGCTTTGCACTGTGATGAAAGCAAATGGTACAGGTGAGTGAGGCTAAAGCCTGTGGCCTTGAAGTCCCCAGATGCTAGTTGAGTGTACATCAGTAGCTCTTCATGAAGATCCATACATGCACGTGCGCATGTGTGTGTGCGCGCACACACATACACACACAAGTGCACAAAACACAGGCATATACTCATATATTTGTACACACACAGGAATAATCTATCTACCTATCTATGAATTATTCTCCTTAATTTTCTGGAGTCTTTTTATGAAAGCGAATTGTTGCTTTTATGCACATATATGTAAAAGCATGGTGTCTAGGCATGTGTGTAGGCATGCTCACATATAAGTGCAGTGCACATGTTTGTGTGCATGTAGAGCTCAGGACTTGACGTTGGAAGTCTCCCGCAGTCACTCTCTACCTTGTGTATTGATACACTGTCTCCCAACTGAATCCAGAGCTAATATGACTAGCACAGCTGGCCAGCTTGATCGGGGCAACCTCTGTCTTTCACTTCCCTTGGAATCACAAGTGGGTTACCATGCCCACCTGCCTTTTGTGTGGGTTCAGGGGATCTGAGCTCCGATTCTTTATCCTTGCACAAAAATTGCTTTAGCTACTGAGCCATCTACTCTGTTAAGTCCTGTTTGTTTTTCTTTCTTTTTTTTAGAAGAAAAATAATTTTTTACGTATTTTGAGGTGACTGATAAAATATGTGGCAAGACAGTGATAAGTAAGGGCTAACTCTGGTGGTGACATTCAGCTGCAGAGACAACTGTCAGGCAGTAGTACAATGTAACATACGTCATCCACTATTTGTTCCTCGTGACAGTCAACATCATTCAATGACAATATCATTTTACAATGTAACTTTCCCTGGTTATATAATCTTCCAGCAAGCAGGAACAGTGATATTTCATTGACTTGATTCTCTTCAGCTGGAATTGAATTGTATGTATGTATATATATATATATATTTAACTTTCATGTGATCAGAAAGCTCTTGTAATGCAGCAGTTCCCACTGTTAATGGCTTCCTTTGGATAATTGCCTATTGGTGAACTACTGAACAGAAGAGCTTTCAGGTTTGAAGGGTTTCAGTACATGTTTCTAAATTACTTTCCAGTCACACAGTAGTAGGTTCTCCTTCCAGAAGAGACATACATGAGGATCTCTGCCCTCAAAATCCTGGATGCCAAGAGCTCTGGAAGAAGAAAGGGTGTTTGCCAATTGATGATGAAAAATGACCAGTGTGTGTCCATGTGCGGTGTGTGAGGGGACACGTGTGCTCGCATGGAGGGGGGGCAAATTCACTTGCAGGTCATGTTGCTGTCTAGAACTCGCATTCTGCAGACAGAAGAACACTCAAACCCTGCTAGCTTTGGACATTCAAGAAATAATACTAAATCAAGGAGGACTGTAAGAGCCCCGGGGAACAGGGGAACTGGGAGCTCTTTCTTCCCGGCCAAGTATTTTTAGACAATTGTGAAATCACGGAATAGCCAGCATTTTCCAGAGAAAAGTGAAGTTTTTCAATGCTTACAAACTCTGCGGAGATAGTTCATAAACAGTCTTCAGGTCAAGCAATCTGAAGATGGACTTCTCATTACTAGGAATGTGTGTGCATCTATGACTATCTAGTATGGGTGTATCAGGAAGTTGGTTGCCTTACAGGACACAGAGAGGCTTCTGATCCCGAGGTCCGCTACTGGGGTTCAGAGGGCAGCCCTGCTCTTTTCTCGGGGATGCTGTTTTAAGTTTGCATTTGTAAAATGTAGAGAACATGTGCCCATTGCCTGAGGTGTTGCCCATGCGACTGTATGTATGTGAGGCTTTTTCTCTTTAATGGCTCATGTTGAGGGAGGTGTGTTGATACTAGAAAAGGATGGAGTGTGGGTCACATCTGCTGGTGCACCCCATGATTCCAGCACATGGTGGTAAGAGGATCAGGAATTTAAGGTCTGGTTGCATCACATGAGACCATATCTCAAGAAAGCAGAAACAACAGCAGCCCCCTCCCTGCAGAAAAGGCGACTGTAGAGGTTGTCTCAGCAGTTAAGAGTGCTTGTCCCACCATCATGGGGACCAGTGTTCAGATCTCAAAAATTGTATAATAAACCAGGCATTCTAGAAAATGCCTATAGTATCAGTTCCAAGGAGTTGAGAGCCTAGTCAAGAAGCCCAGGTTCAGGGAGAGACCCTGCCTGAAAGGAACGAATGGAGAGTGACAGAAGACTCCTGACACCCTCTGCTGGCGACAGTGGGTACATACCCACATTTACCTGCACACACGTGTGGACTCACACAGAAACACATACAAAGGAACAAATAAGTCCTTTAACAGAGAAAATGATCGTGATAGGTGATAGAAGTAAACAAACATAACATAGGGTGTTGACCACCGTGGAACACTGCTTTATGAACTTATTCTTCCATTCTTCCTCTTCTTCCTCTGGTTCATCCTTTGGTGTCTGAAGGAACTCCATGGGTTTATTAGCATGTACCAAGTTGCTACTGTCCAGGAGAGACTCCGCTGAATATCTTCAAGGAAAAAACCCATCTTCCACAGGGTTTAAAATCAGTACCCCACCTTTTGGCTAGGACACCCATGTATCAGCCCTGTCAAGTTGCCTTGGGCTAGTCATGTATAATGGATTCTCATTCCTTCCCAGGCTGCCTCTCCATGGTATAGAAAGTGTCTCAGTCTAAGAAGGCTTTAGGTTTTTTGTGAGCCATACAGGCAGAGTCCCTATCCTTCTGGAGCCACGGGTGAACTGACCCATTTGACTCCTGTCCTTCTCCTCCCACTAACCAAGCCTCATCTCATGAACTCAATGAGTGAAACAGTGGCGGGTAGAGTTTTCTCCCCCTTAGTTCTGGTCAATATGTGCTCCAGCCTATAGATTTTAAAGGAAAAGCTAGATAAGGTGGAAAGGTGGTTCAACAACTGAGCACTGGCTGTTCCTCAGAGGACCTGAGTTCAATTCCCAGCACCCTCATGGTGGCTCACCCTAGAATATAACTCCAACCCCAGGAGATCTGGCACCCTCTTCTGGCCTCCTCAGACACTGCACATACTTGGTACACAGAGATACACATCTGGGCAAAACACCTATACACATAATGTGAAAATATATAAAACCTAAAGGGAAAAAAAGGGAAGCTGGGTTCTGAGCCACTCCATCCTTTAGCCACATATTAAGACAGAAAAGTGGGAGGGAAGAGGGCCAAAAGTGATTTTTCATCAAATGAGACAAAGACAGAGCCACTTGGATGGCTTCAGCCACTGCCTTTCACTGGATCTTCTACAGCTGGTTTGTGTGTGTTGGTATTGTATTCACCAGGGCCTTAATTTCCAGTCTCATTCTGCCAGCTTTGCACTTAGCAGAAAAGAACATCTGAATTCCTAACTAAGGCATTTTTCTTTTGCTGAAGACTGCCTCTTTAATGCCAAGAGTGAATCTCTCATAGGTAATGGTGAGGATGCATAAGAAGACAAAACATGTATTTTAGGCAAATATGTATATTGGTTAAAAGGAATTAAAGCCTTGTTCATGGGAGTGAGGACCAAAAAGTAATATGTGTTGACAGATACACATTCTGTAAAATGTTTTCTGCATTCTGCCAGACTCAGACGAGGCACCTCAGGCATACAGGTAGAAAGGCTGTGTGTAGCTGACGGATGGCAATAACGCCACCACATAGAACGCATGTGTTTGGATAGCACTTAGTCTCCTCAATGACACAATCATTGGAGGCTGAAAGAGGGAGGAAGAAAGGAGCCATTAGCTGTGACTCCCGGACTGCTGTGCAGAAATGCAGGCATCGTAGTTGCCAGAATAAATGCCTCCAGAGAGGCAGGGAAGCGAGGAATGTTATTTTAATCATTCTAATAGGGTGGTAACTCGGAGCTGACATCCTGCCGCTGTTCTCTGATCCTTAGGTACAGTGATGCAAACCCTTTTCTCCCCATAGCCCTGTGGAAGAATATCTTTACAATCATCATCAGAGCGTGGCTGAAAAGTTAATTCTCAGAGTTTCTCATGGAGCTGAGGGTACCCTAGGGTGTGGCCAGTTCAGAATGAAGCCGTGGCTTTGGGATTGTGAGAACTAAAGACTGTGCCTTCCTATTGGAAGTCATTCTCTTTCAGTCACTCACCACACATTCATATATGACAAATGATTTGTGCATATAGTGTTAGACATTGTAGACATGGAAGGGACCAAGGGCTGACCCTCATGGAGCTTTCAAAACTAAGGTTGATACTATCAAAAGCACAGCGAGTGGCTGGAGTGAACAGGGACATGAGCTGGTCTGCTGAAAGGGGGGCTCTAGAGTGAGAAGGTGGAGAAAGGGAAGAAAGACCTGTGGGTGAGGAAGGCGTGAAGCAGAAAGGACCAGAGAATAGGTGCGACTGGAGATGGAGTGAATGCCTTTGGCTACAACTCCAGACTGGAAAGTGATGAGGACAGGACCAGGGACAGGGACAGGAGCATACTGCGAGACTTCCCTCCAGGGGACCCGTGTCTGGGTCAGAAGTGGTGTGCATTTACCCATCTCTCAATGGAAGCTTCTTAAACAGTGCATGTCACTGAGAAACTGGGCAGTGGATCTTCTCATTCCTCTGAGTGTATACACGTTAAAAGCATGGAAGCTGTCTTGGTGCATGCTAATACCTTGATCCTTCCTCATCCTCGCAGGAGATTCTTAAAGGTACACATCTGAACATGCAAATAGTTCTGAAGCTAATGAAAACTACATTTTTTTCTATATATACACACACGTGATAAAAGTTATCTTATATATCATACACAATAATGCTGAAGAGTTAAGTGACGACAATTTCTTGTAATGAACGTGGGTACTTTGGGGCCATGATTAAGTAAAATAGGATTCTTCAACATAAGCAATGGCAAAACCCATGGCAGTGGCTCTGAAAAGCAAGATGGCTGCTGAGTTACTAACAAGAGGGTAGCAAATACCATGTGTACACACAAGACAAAGGGATGCTTCATGTCGCAACTAGGAAAGAGGGA